TCGCCGCTGTCATCTCCTGCTCTCTGCAAAATTTGCGCAGTTTTAGCTGATTTTTACTTTGCTAGGTGTGTCACACGGTAGAGAGGAAAGCTGTAAGATAAAGTCCTCTTGTTGTTTGGTGGTTATGTGTTCGTCTCTCAGTCTTGTTTTGAAAAGTATTTGGACATAGTCTGAAATGACGGTCACAAGTCGTAAGATTTTGGTCATTCGTAAGGACACTTCCACCGTAATAAAATTCAGAACGTTTTCTTGAGCTGACCTGCATCATGTTTCAAAGTATGGTTTCATAATGGTTTGCGATCGTGAGCTAACTTCAGATAAGACTAAAAGAAAAATTTGTTTAACAGCGTTATATCAAAGTTTGCCAGTCTTTTCTTCAAAAGAAGCTTTGTTTTAAATTGTAATTTGTTTCAACTTCAACTTGTACAGGTTTAAAAAACTGTAAATTGATTATTAGAATTAGAATGGTGCTGTTGTAACGGTTTTGAACTTATTTTTGCATTCTTTTCATTCAGTCTACATATCTAGTATGAGGTTGTTTTAATCAGCATATATGTTGGAAGGGATTAATGTTTTGTAAGAACCGAATGATGGTTTTGTGCGGGTCATTCTTTTTTGTTTATTATGGCACACTGTCGATTTTGTGATCCTGATAAGCAAATCATTTTTTTTTTTTACACCTGCTTCTGAATGCTGGCAGTGTAATAGAGGAGTGAAGCTTATCAGTTCACTTTGGCCTCTGCGATCGAATGAGTGTGCTAATAAATGTCCAAATTCTTCGAGTTTTTCTATAAATAAAACTTTTAGTGATGACTTCATGTGAGTGGTAGGCAGTGGGCGCTGTTCTCACACAACTTTCAAATAGTATAAATAAAATTACGTAAAACACTCTTTGATATGTTTATTAAGTTTAAAAAATTGTGGTGTTGACGAATGTTATAATTGAAAATAATAATATTGTTCCAGTAAGACAACTGGTGGTCAGAAATGCACTTAAACAATATTTTTTGAATTTATTTCTGGTGAAGCACTTTTCTTTTTAATTAATCTACGAAATGAGGTTTTTCGATGTATTTAGCCGTTGTTGTTGCTCTTTGCTGCATTATTTATGATTGTTTTTTTTTTCTCTAATATCGTTGGTTCTCTTAAGCTGACTGAAGTTTTAGCTTTATTTCCTCGTGAATTTGAAGACCACAAGACAAACAGGATTTATTAAGACGTGGTAGAGGCCTAGTTGTTATTGACGGGAAATTCTGTTTAATTTGATTGTGGCTGTTTTTTAGCGAAGGAAGCTCATTAAACTCGGCGTCTATATCGTTCGATCATTCTCGCGACTCAGTTTTTGATGCGTCGTTGTGCTCAAATCCCATTGATGAGACGGCTATAATGGAGAGTCACCTGGGTGGACGAAGGTTGAAAAGATCTCATCGCTTTTTTTAATTTGTCAACTTTTCTCTTTTCTTTCAGTACTTTTTGTAAAAACCTTTGGTCAAGGACATGCAGCATTAGTGGTGGAAAATTGATTTTTTTTCTAATGCAGGTTTTTGTTCGCCTGACGCATGAATCTTTTGCCATTTTTTCGTAGTTATTTAAAGAATTGTAGTTTTATATCTTCCATTCTCATTCCGTCCACGCTGATAGCACAGTAGGGCATTAAAGTTTTACGGGCACCGAATGCCTTAAATAATCATTAATTTTGCTGTTTGACGTTATTAACAAATAAACATTTGTTTAGCTGAAGTGCAACGTAGTTGATAAATAAAAAAAAAGAATTTCTGTCAGGATTATTGATGGAGGTTTGAAGCGTATTAAGTGTTGCTTTTTTTTGAAAACTTGTAATTAACCTGGGAAATAAAAGAGTTTTGCTTTGAGCAAAAGAGAACTCCTAATTCATTTAGGAGTAAGTTGGTAGGAAACTATACGGTTATATCTTAAATTTCACGCGTACTTTCCGCAAACTAGGTCTCTATGGTTAGATAAATATAAAACTGGTACGGCATCATAAATTTTGGAGAGTAAAATGAGACAAAAGTAGGGCTGGTACGTATGGCTAATTATCGAAAACTACAAGGTAATTAAATGTTGCAGGGAGAGTGCAAACCATGTTGATGGAAATGCTGACCACGATTTAATGACCGCCACCAAATTAATCGATAATGACAATCCTGGAGCCATGGCCGCAGGAATAGCATCAGCAGTGTTTGACGGGGAGAACCAGCGACAACTCCCTTTTGTTGCCGAGGCAACCAGAACTAATGCCCAGCAACAAATGCCCTCAGTCACTACTGTAAACAATATCGAATCGACTACCATCAGTGACATTCGAGGATCTGTACTGGGAACTAACAGATGGAATTTACCGTCAACACCGCCGCCACCACCGCCATCATTTCCGCCACCTGACATTACGCCAACAGAAGAATCTGAAATGAAACCAAAGTTTACTCCTTCTACAGAACCAGTGTTGAAATTAGCTTCAGCACAAACTGGACAGAGTTATTCAACTGACTCACTGAAGAATCGCCAGCACACTATTTTTGATTTAGAAAATACAGGTAAATACTAGAAAAACCGTCACGTTTTTTATTTATTAATGGACATAATTAAGTGGATAGTGAAAGTTTTGTTAAAACAAGCAGTTTTGCTGAAAATTTAAATGAGTTGGGAAAGAGATGTATAATTACAAATAGGCAAAAGAGTTTTGGGATCCGATTACCGCAATCAAGAAACAATTTTCAGAACATTGCCTGATAGTTTTGTTTTTCTTTTTCAATCTTGAAGAGTACGCTGTATGAGATTGTTTTAATTGTTTTTCTCAAAACTTTGTTAATCCCTCAGTTCCAGAACCTTCTACTCCACCGATGGAACCGCCACCACCGCCTCCATTGCTTGCTCAGCCGTTTGTCTCTGGCTATCCACCAACGTACCAGTCGTCCTGTTCTACGAAGGTATTTAACATTAGACTTGTTGTTGTCACATTTGTTTACCGATGCGGTGCATCTTTTAAGAGTTGCGTAAACGTAAAACTTATTCAGACCCTATTTTTGTCCAAACTGTATACCTTTCAAATGAGAGTTAATAATTGTTGAAATAATACAAAGTAGAATAGCACTGAGTGGGTAAACAGAGAAATATCAACTTCTTTGAAGGATGAGGACCCGTATGTAATAAAATGGTAGATGAATGTGATGACAGGTAGGTATCGGGTGAGATGCTATGACTTTTTTAGTTATTTGAGGGAGTTTTGTTCTGGTCAGTGGTACAATTTTTGTTTTTTTTTTTTGGCATCAGTCCTCATCAGAATTTTCTTTGAAGTATAAGTTTTCAGTTGTTACTATTTTTCGTACGTTGCCTAACATTTAATATATATCACAGTTATCTTCAGTCACACTGGCATTAAAATTAGAAAATTCACGTTTGATAAATCTTTTGGATCAGGATGTGAAAGGTTATCTACTCTATTTAAAAAGGAAGAGAAATAGCATTTCAAGTCGATACAATAAGATTGTCACCGCCTTTTTGATATTTATGTGTTTTTCCAGAGGTATTTTCGAAATTTATGTTATTTAAGAAAATTATCTTATTTTTCTGTGGTAACTACCTCATCGTGGTGCGGGTCAACTTCATTCTGCCACGGCTCTTTACCAGTAGTTGCTTTGTACTCGTTGTAGCCAGTAAACTTGCTGGTTTTATTTACCTTTCTTTGTTTAGTTTAAAAAAAAAAAGAAGTGAAAGTAGTTTGTGAATTACTTTTTTCTTAAATAAAATAGAGGATAGAAGGAAGAGTGAGAAAAGCGACGGCCACGCACGAGTTGCCATTGTTGGTGTTTTTATTGCCACTCTGTTGTGAATGTGTTGTCCTTCAGTCGTTTTAAATAACATTTAGAGCAATGTAATTCGGCGGCGTACAAACAGTTTTTGGCATACTGAACAGAAATTGCGTTTCGGCAGTGAACTGTCATTTTCTTTCGTCACATTTACCGAACTTGAATGTTTCAGCTGAGCTCATTTGCGTTTTTTTTTTTTTTTTTGCCAGATCCTGCTCATTTCACTTCTTATTTCTGTCCAACTTACCGGTCAAAAAAGCAGGCTTTACTACAAATAAAATTTAATCATAATATGACTGTCCTCTCGCTGATGGTGATGTTATTTGCTTTAACTTCACAATGACTGTAAAGAGACTGAAAAATTTGTTGGTTGCAGCAGAGCGTCTTACCGTTGATGAAGGGTTCATAGTTGGGTAAGCGTACTACATACTCCTGGTAAAAATTAGTAGTTTTCTCACCGTTATTTTTTAAAGAAGTCATTATGATGAAAGTTGGCGCTGGATTTCAAAAAAATCTGAATAAAGAACGATAACAGAGTCTCGTGTCGAGAAGTGTATTACGCGCATCCACCGACTATAGAACTGCCTGCATCGGCCTTCTATTCTTCTATTATTTTACATTGTACATTGAGTTATTTAATTTTCTCTATCTTTTATATAATGCACGAAAATTGTAAAAGTAATGCAGGAAACCAACAATGAAACAAGAAGAAAAGAAGAGGGAGAGATAGAAAAAACAAAAGGCAGGTGATTTGAGCAGCAAACCAACTGTACTTTTTTAATATTCTTTTGCAACTTTGAACTTCGAATTAGATATAACCCATCGTTTTATCGCTGCATTTGCTTCAAAGTTTCTTAGGTGTTCTCAGCTTTTGGAACATAAGGCTATACCGCAATCAGTTTATTCGCGTCATTGGGACGCCGAATCTAATGGAACAGTAAGTATTGAGCCTCATCTCAAATGCCGCCCGTTTAAATTTTGGCTTTTCTGTCTGCTTAAGAGGTGAATAGTTGAACATTATTTGATGATGTCACTTAAATTTTCTTCCAGGACTATTCGGTTCACTTCATTTCCTCGTACCGGTCGCATTTTGAAGTAAGCCATCGAGTATGCTGTTTAGTATTCCTTTCCAAGACAGTTTTTTGTAAAATAAAAGTTTTAGCGACTGTTTTTCAGCTTTCTGTTTTTGTGTGCAAGTTACGAAAGGACTTGATCTGCTTCCTGTTATGAATATTATGGAAATAGTTCGGCGTGACAGTCTCATTTGAAATTTTTAAGTTCAGTTAATGAAAACATGAAACAGAAGACAGCAACATTTTTAAAAGTTATTAACACTTATAATTTGCCATTTTATAACGACTTCGATAAGGCAATTTCCCATTTTCGGAAACCAGATTTTTTTACGCGTAACCGTTTACTGCCGCTGCTCCCCTTTCTTCTCAATTTGGCTTCAGTTTTTTTGCTTTTATTCTTTAGCTTCTGTTCCTCAGTCTTTATAGCTGTCATATATATA